GGCAGGCAGAGAGCCTGAAGGCTCCTGAGCATGCACAGCCTGCCTTCCCCTGCTCTGGGAGGGCAGAGCGGGGCAGCCAGCAGAGATCCTCGTGCCTCCCTTACCAAAGCACTTCACGCTGGACTGAAGGGGCGTCCAGCGACCTGTGCTGTCCCTTCTAAGCCAGACTTCTCTGTATACAGGTTTTCCATGACTGATGGACTGGACCTTGCTTGAACATCTGACATGGGTGAAGGATGGCTGGAAACCCTCAGGGCAGCTCAGCATCACTTCTTCATTCTTCTTGTAATTCTCCTTATCAGGTTCCAGCTGGAGACTTGGGTCCCACCGGGGCCTTTGGCAGACTTCTGGCAGAAGTAAAAGTGGATATTGGTTGGTCTGTGAGGGGGGTCATGGGTGGATGGTGGTAGAGGAATCCTCAGCAAATCCTGCAGCATGTGAAGGTAGAGAAAAAGGGGACATATCCATCTGCCAGGATATGACTTGGAGGCAAGGCTTGTTGGGAAGGGGCTCTCTATTGCACCCAAAGTGTGAATGAACCTCCCACAGCCATTCTTGTATCCAAAGACACTATATTCCCTCCTCCACAGCCCGCATCAGGGAGCTTCCCAGGACAATCACCCCTGCACATGGAGACCCCCTCCAGCCACTCCTTCAGATGTGTCACCCACCCCAGCTTAGGGTGCCCTTGGTGGGCCATGGGTTGCATGTCTTTCCAGCCATGGATCACCTTTTCCACAGGGATCAGAGATGCCCCTGAGGTCCCTGAGGTAGCTCTGTCAGTCCTGGAGCTACTCTCCTCCTGCTCCATGCCACCATGCAGTGGGACATGAGGATGAACAATGCCTTCTCCATTCATATCTCCTGTTTTACCACTGCCCTTGCCCCTTTTTTTCCTGCCACAAGCCATGCGCCATTCTCCACATCCCTTCCTCACCACATTCACCACCCTCTAGGCTGAGCAGGTACAGCAGTTTGACGAGTGCTGCAGGGAGGGGGTTTGTGGCAAAGATTCCTACAGGCATGGATGCCAGCGCTTGGGAAAGAGCACATCCAACCTCTGCAGGGAGCTCTGGGAGGCCTCAAAGTGCTTAAAATACAATCTTCCTTCTCCCAAAGGGACTGAGATCTCACAACGTTCCGAATGGTTTCTGAACAGCCACAAGGAAGTACTGAGATGCTGGTGAACCAGCCACTTAGGGTCAGGCCTTGCACAAACAACGCAGGTTGAAGAAGGCAAGAGATGCCCAGCTGAGAACTGCAACCAGCAGCTCTGTCCCACTGACACAGCCA